TGGTTTCGGCATATTCACTCATTCTTTCATTCATTCATTCATTCATTCAGTGAGCAAGCAAGCAAGCATATACTGAACTCCCACCATGCACTGGACACATAGATTCAACATGGATTCCTCAGGGAGCTTGCAATCTGGTGGGAGAGTTCTGACATGGCCACCTCACCCAGACTGTGAACAAGGAAGATGTGGGCCAAGGAGAAGACACCGCCCAGCCCTCAGGTGCTTCATGTCACCTAAACAAAGAGAGGTTTGCTCCGGCCAACAGTGCACAGCACGGAGACCTTCCGGTACCAAGGACCGGAGGGGCCGCTCCTGTGCTCACTACCTGTCCCAGGTGCCCTCCACTCCCCCTGCTCTGGCCTTGACCCCAGTGCCCTCCTCCCGTGGCAGGGAGCAAAGTTTCTGCTAAGCTCCCACACACTAAGGGGCTAGATAACTCCACGTTCCTCCCTGCGTGTGGGGGAGGGGTGATGAGCGAGAATGTCTTTTTAAAGAAAAAGACTTATTCTCCCTCAAGCAAACCGTTCCCTAATGGAGGTATTTGAGGCACCCTGTGTGGTGGTGGGGGGGGGGGGGCAGAGGGTGTTTAAGTGTGAAAGGGGTTTCTTAGAACCTGTCACACTGCCCTGGAACCCACCTGTGGGCAGAAAACATGCTGCTCTCACCAGTCTCACCCCACACTGGCCCTCCTGCGGCCCGCAGCCCCCCTCCCCAGAGCTCAAGGCCATCGCCAAACTCTGCTCCCATCCTGCCCGCTCTGTGCAAATATTTACATAGCTCCTCTCCGGGGTCCACAGCAGACACAACACGGAGGAGCCGCCCTCCTGACACTCTCCAGACCCCGTGTGCCAGGAACGCTCGCACCCTCAGCCTGGCGGGCCTGCCTCTTGCCCCGGGGACGGGAAGCCCTCATCCGGAACTGGAACTGTGAACAGGGCGCTGCTCCCTCTCAGGAATGACTCCCGCCCTGGAGGAAAGGTGCTGGTGGGGAGCCTGGAACCCCTCCTGGCCTCCTGCCACAGCAGTGCTCCCTGTGTCTACCCTTGTCCTCCGCTGTTCACTCTAGGCTGCTCCCATCTCAGGGGTGGCACCAGCCTGGGTCCTGCCCTGCCTGCCCAGCTCAATAGGCCCGGGGCTGCTTCACCCGCATCCCAGTGCAGGGCTCCCGCACACAGCGCACTGCAGCTCGGGGTCTGGGCCTGAGGGCCAGGGGCCCGGAGAGGGGGAGAGTGGGGGTCTGAGCTTGGAGAGAGGTCAGCTGTGCTGGAGGAGGGGCATGGGAGAAGGTGGGGAAATGGCCTGGGTGTGTGCAGGGTCATGGGAGGCCCACTGGAGTGTCGCTGGTGCCAGCAGTGCCTGCATCAGCTGGGGTCTGAATCTGGGAAGCATAAACCAGCTGGTATGGGGCCACCTCTGGGACTCAGGTTCCCCACAGGCACTGGGGGCACCAGGGCACAGGCTGGCCCACTGGTCCCCACTCCTCGACAAACCACAGCTCAGCTGTTGCAGTAGGTGCCCTCTGACCCTGTTACCATGGCAGCCAGCCTGCAGCTGGAGCAGAGAAGCAGTCAGATCCTTCTCTAGAGACACCCCTGTCTCCACCCACGCATGGGCTCCTGGGGACACAGGGACACGGAGACCAGGCCAGTGCAGGCGGAGGTATGGAGGAGCCAGACAGAGCCCAGAGGGAGAGAGGCTCAGGGGGGCTGGTGGGGAAAAGAAGAGACAGATGCAGGGTGGAGGAGATAAGGGGACAGAGTACCGGCAGGGAGGGAGCCCTGGGGAAAAGGAGAGAAGGAAAGCAGCAGAGACCACAGCACAGCAAGGCACAGGCAGACAAGCTGGGCGCTGCAGGAGGCGGGGCGAAGAGAGACAGTGGGAACAAAGAGCAGAGGGACGGGGATGGCAAGGGACAGAGAGCAGGGGGGACCTCCACCAGGCCCAGCGGAGGAGGGCAGCAAGCGAGGAGGAGCCTGGCTCAGAGGGATCCCGGCCACCCCGCCAGCCGGTGATGGGGGATGCAGATGTCCTCCAGCAGCACCTGTGCCCAGGCAAGGCCCCAGGGCACAGCCATGCCACCGCCTGCCAGCCCCGCACTGCTTGGCTCTGCTCCCAGGGCCACCTTCATCCTGGGCCTGGCGTGAAGGGGCATCGACGTGGGGCCAGCAGGTCCCAGGCACCCCATGTCTCCCCCTCCACCCCACACACTCCCAGTCCAGCCTCCCTACCTCCCAACAATCCCAGCAACTAAGTAACAGAGCTGTCTGGCTCCAGGCCCTGATACTGCACAGAGCTAGGCCGGAGGCACCGACACAGCACAGCTGTCCGCACTGGCGCCTGCCAGCAAACGGCCCCGCCTCCTGCCCAGCCACCCACTGCCCCGGGGCTGAAGCCCGGGGACCCACTCTCCCGGGGCTGGCCCAGGCAAAGACCCCGAGACAGGCCTGGACAGAGACAAGAGGCGGGGCCCTGGCCTTCTACACCTCCGCCTCCCTGCTCTGCCAGGAGCGAAGGCGTGAGCTGGTGCACACAAGCACACAGCACGGGTCAGGCCACACAAAACCTCCCTAGGGGCCCAGCGTCTCAAGGCAGAGGCGGGGAAGGCGGAGGAAATCTGTCAGCTTCCGAGTCTCTGGTGCCAGGACAAGCCGAGACTCACATGACCTGAGGGCCCAGGCCAGACTGCTGGCCACCGGGAGCTACCTGAGCCCATGGAAACTGTGAGGGCAGAGCAGGGGGAGGCAGAGATGACTGGCGCCGGGTTTCCTGGGTCACAGCCTCATCTGGAGTAGGAATCTGAAGGGGACAAAGTGATTGGACCCGGGCAAGGGGCCTGGGTTCTAGTCCCCCTCCCTCCACAGATCCACTGGTAACTGGACCTCTGCTTCTCAGTTTCTCCACGTGTAACTTGAGTGAGCTGGATTGTGATCCTCAGGGGCACCGGGATTCCATAGGATCCTGCAGAAAGGTCCCTCTCTCCCAAAGGAGCCAACGTGAGGAGAGGAAGAAGGCCTGCCCCACACACACCACAGCGCAGACAAAAGCACGCGGGCCCCCCATGCCAACAGGCCGAGCAGATACCTTATCCCAGGAGAAAGGGGTTCAAGACAGTAACCGCCTTGGCCCATGATTTCTGGTGTTGGACCTGAACCTGAGACTTAATGTGTTCACATTCTGTTCATTACATCAGTGGTTTGCAGATAACTCTGTACAGGAAGTAATTGGAATCTGTAGATGCCCCTGTAGCTAGCTGGTGTCATTTTTTTTAAATATATTTTATTGATTTTTTTACAGAGAGGAAGAGAGGGGAATAGAGAGCTAGAAACATCGACCAGCTGCCTCTTGCACACCCCCTACCGGGGATGTGCCCACAACCAAGGTACATGCCCTTGACCGGAATCGAACCCGGGACCTTTCAGTCCGCAGACCAACGCTCTACCACTGAGCCAAACCGGTTTCGGCTAGCTGGTGTCATTTTTAACGTATGACAGCAAAGCAGAGTGGGGAGGGCTCTGATCAGACAGACACAGTTCCACTCCCCGCTCTACCACTTACTAGCTGTGTGACTTCGGAAAAGTTTCTTAATTTCCCCGAACTTGTTTCCTCGTCCATAAATGGAGAAAAAGTTACATCTACCTCCCAGGGTTGTTGTGAAGATTCTGTGAGATAATGTAAGCGAAACATTTAGTAGCACAGTGTCCAGCACAGAGAAGCCACCCACCGATGTTAGCTAGTACTAGATGGCCAGGCAGATACAAAAGCAAATCGGCTCTGAGTTGGGTCCTGGGAGACATCAGTGGGAAAGCAGACAGAGGGTTTCCATCTGCATTCAGGGTTTCCATCTAGTCTTGCAGCCCCTGCCTCTGAGCCAGAACCCCCAAGTGCTGCCAGCTAATCCTCTTCCAGGGTCCCCTCTAATGCCGTGATGTCCCAGGCTGGGCACCCCTGCCAAAGCAGGGCCATCGGGGAGGCATGAGCCTTCACAGGCAGCCCTGGCCAACCCTGTGCACATAGGGGAGGTTCCAAGAAGCAAGGCCAGGGCCTGGGCTACGGGTTCACTTCACCCAGCCCCAGGGGGAGACAGAGCCTGCCGGCTCCAGCAGGTAAGCTCCTAAGGCCGGAACCCGCGTGTTGTTCACTGCTCTCTGCAAGACCCTGAGTTCAGCCAGTGCTGCCCAGTAAGCACTGAGCAGCAAGGTTGGAGCACCCATGGGCAGTCCAGAGGCACCTTCTAGCCCTCTGCAGACCGCCCAAAGCCCTGTGCCTTGAACTTCCGGAGCAAAGCCGACCAGCCAGGATGGACACGTGCGGGAGCAGTCCAGCCCAGAGCTCTGTTTATCCCATCTCCGGAAGCCCAGAGCAGCTGAGCTAGGAGGCGGCGGCTGAGAGGAGACACCTGGCGCAGGAAGGGATGGCAGGCGGGGCCTCAACGGATGAGACAAAGGGAACCAGGGCTGGGAAGAGGCACACACCTCATGCCAGGTGCAGGTGAAGGGCAGAGGGAGAGCGGGGGAGGGGGGGCAGGAGAGGGGCAGCAGAGACTGAGCTAGCGTCCTCAGCCCTCCCCACCTTGGCCCTCAGTGGCTTCTCCCCACACCAGTCAGGCACACGGCAGGGCCTGTGGCAGAGGTCAGCGCCCAGCCGCCAGCCTGGCCTATTCTGTCCACGCACGCCCCTGCCATCCCTGCCCCATCCACCTCTAGCTCATCGTGCCCACATCTGCCCAGGGAGAGAAAGGAATCAGAGGCACCAGACCTACAGCCCAGCAGCCCCTTGGCTGCCCCGAAAAACCATCCCACCAGAGTGAGGTGAAGACTCAGACCGCCTGCAGCCCCAGTGCCCAGCCCTGATCTCCCACCTGGCCCTTGGCGATGGCCCCACTGGGGTCACGCTACTATGGAACCGGCCCAGGCTCGGGCCATTTTCCAGCCTCCCCCATCCCCTGGCCGCCCCGCCCCCGCGGCCCCGCGCCAGGCCCCGCCCCCAGGCCCGCCTACCGTCCTTCCGGTAGAAGGCGATCTCCACTTTGCGCTCCTCGGCGCCCAGCAGGGCCTGCGCGATCTGCGCGGCGGCGCGGCGCTGGGTGCGCGGCCCGTGCAGGAAGTCGCAGGTGCAGGGCCGCTGCATCACCTCGGCCCGCGAGTAGCCGCACAGCTCACAGAAGCCGTCGTTGCAGTAGATGACCGCGCAGTTCTCCACCCGAGCGTTGGCGATGATGAACTTGCGGCCTGGGGGTGTGGGGGGCAGAGGGGGCGGGGAGATGAGCAGGCAATGAGGGAGCAGGGACCCCTGCCTCGAGGGCTGCAGCCCTCACCTGCATTCTGCTGTCACTCGCTGCCGCCTGCACCCCCCTCCCCCACAGGACTCCCGGCCTCAGGGAGCACCGCGGAGCCGGGGTCCCCATAAGGGGGGCGAACGCAGCTGCGCCCCAACACAGGTGCCTCGCCAGCCCGTCAGGCGGCGCCCCCCGCCCCCCGCCAGGCCCTCGGGCTGGCTCCGTGGCTTCCCCCGGGCAGGCTGCCAGAGGCCTGCCGCCCCTCCGCGCCTGGGGCCGGGGCCAGACTGGGCGGGTGTCAGCAACGTGTGTCAGCAGCCGCGGCGGAGGGATAAACACTGGGCCTGGAGAGGGAGGCTGGGAAGGGTCAGAGATGGCGGCCAGCCTTCCCTTTGCACCGGCTCCCTCGGCTTCTCTTCCAGACACACACACACACCCATCTCTAGACTAAGGGGAGCTCCCTGTACACTTCTTACCCCGGGGATCCCCAGGAAATCCTCCCCCAAGTATCAGTGCTTCCTGGCAGGGCCGTCAGGGGCTGGGGACTGGGCAGAGGGTGAGGAAAGTCCCACGTGAGCACCTGCTAGGCTGTATCTGGTGTAACACTGACAACCCCATAAGGCAGCATCCTCTATTATAGATGGAGAAACCGGGGCTCAAAAGAAGTTCAGAGCCGTCCCCATAGCTTGCAGCTTGTACCTGACAGAGCCAGCTTCTGAAGCCAGTTCTGGCAGAGGGTGAAGGAATAAGCTAAGGGCCACGGGCAGACGCCCAAGGTCATAGAAAGCAAGGAATGGGGTCTGCAGCACCAACCCTGAAAACACCTGGCGCCCGGCGGGCTGAGACAGTGGCCCGCTTGTGAGAAGGCAGATGCGGGAATGTGAGGGCTGCCTCAGTTTTGCCCCATGGAAGAGGGCTGCCCCAATGGACCTTTTCAGCTAGCCTGGGCTCGCCCCTCCATGCCTGCCCTGAGGGCTGAGCTGGCGGGTGAGCAGCGGGCAGGCAGCGGAGCTGGTGCCAGGGAAGATGCTCCCGGCATAAGAGCTTCTTATAAATGCATAAGTTTCCGGCCCCGTTGGCCTTTAATGCGGGGCCTCCTCCCTTCACAGCGGGCACGGCCTGCAGGCCGCGGCCCGCAGCCCCGGGCAGTCCCAGGCAGTCCCAGGGGCAAGGCCTCCCAGAGGTAGTCGAGGCCACAGGACCTGGCCGCCCCTGCCTTCCTCTGCAGCCCCTTGCCCTGGCCTCCAAGAAGTTACTTTCTGAAGTTGGGTCATCTTTAGGTCAGTTCCCTGGGCCTCAGGCAGTAGTCACCCCAGTCAGGGCTCTCTGTCACCTACAAAGACCCCAGATCCGGCCTCCATCTCCACCTCCGTCCAAGGCAATCCAGCGTCCCGGCCACCACCACCACCACCACCACCACCACCACCACCACCACCACCCCCCCCCCCCGGCTTCGGAGGAGAAAGGAAAACCACCTGGCACCACTGCGGGCCTAGAGAGAAGAGGAGTTTCTTCGAAGGCAGGCCCCACCCTCACCCCTTCCCTGAGCTCCTGGAAAACTGTCAGAGGGACCTGACAGGCTCCTTTCCTCTCATGCCCCCTTCGTCCCCGATGTGGAAACTGAGGCTCAGACAGGGAAGAGACTCGCTCAAGGTCACGGTGGCAGAGGAAGGGCCGGAAGCCAGGCCCCCAGATCCCAGCACAGGTGCCTGCACGTTCCCCTGGAGCTTGTGGGAAAGAAAGCCCCTGCCCTGGGGCCCTCCGCCACCGCAGCCTCCTCCCCTCAGGATCATCGTGTTCCTCGCTCAGACAACGCTGTGCATCGAGCTGACCCCTCCCTCTGCCCACCACTGCTACAAGCACACGTTGTCCTGTGTCCACAGGGTCATGGGCAAGGAATGTCACCAGCGCTCTGATCCCGGGGCCCTGGGCAGTCACACCCACCACGGTGCACAACACACACCCGGCAGGTGCAAAGCCCACGCCAGCACCCTCGCCCAGCCTGGGACGTTCGTTTCTGGAAGCCTCTCCTCCCAGGCCAGTTCAGGGTGCTGAGTCCCCACCAAGGGGCTCAAGGCAGGAAAACCCACAACATGGGAGCGCTGCATTGGGGCTGTTAGACCCTCACAACTGGGGTTCAGCCTATGCCATCCTCTCACCCACTGTGTGTAGCCCAGTCTAAGAACCTCCCCATGCCCAGGCAGGGCCACACTCATGGGTGACAGACACACATCCCACACACCCAGGAGCAGGTTAGGCAACGATCCTGCTTGCTGACGGACACCCGTACGTCCTGTTGAGGTCCCACAGTTTGGGAGATACCTTCTCCCCTGTCCCTGCACCCATACAGCCCTCCACATCCAGGCACCCAGCGTGAGGGATACTGCACACCCCCATCCCGTCTCCCTGCCCCGCACACTCAGCGTCACACACCCTCCCCATCCCAGAAGACTGAATTAGCCTCCCACCCGGCGCCCCAACACCGGGTCCCATGGCCCCCAGCACCAAGCCTCGCCCCCCTCGACCCCTGGCCAGCACCCTGAGGACACCAGCAGCCCCTTTGGCTCGCACTTGGCAGATGAACTCGTCCCAGGCACGCCCCCCTCCCCCCCCCCCCCGTCACTCTCGGAAGAGCTCGCCCCCCGCCCCGTGCCCGGCCCGCCGGCCCCTCCCCCACTCACTCTGGCCCTCAAACTTGCGGATGATGGTGTCCAGGAAGGTGTTCTGCGGCGCGACGTGGCCCCTCCGCACCGGCATCCTGAGCCCATGGGCGGGCCGGGCGGGCCCCCACCCACCCCGGCCCGGCCCGGCCCAGCACTGGGCTTCGGGTGGCCCTGCCTCGCCGTGGTCCCCGGACCCCGCGGCCAAGCCGAGCACGGGCGGGGCCGGGGCCGGGCTGCGGGCGTGGAGTGCCCGGCTGCGCTCCCGGCTCCGGGGGACGCGGGCCCGGCCTGGAGCCGCCGGGCTCGGGCCGCCCTCACACCTGTCCGCCGGCCCCCGCCGCGCCGCCGCCCCGCTCCGCCGCGTCCCCGCGCCGAGCTCCGCTCCCCGGCCCCGCGCTCCGGCTCCCGCCCTCCGCGCCCCAGCGGCTCCGGCGCCGGCGGCTCGGGCTGCGCTGGCGGCTCGGCCCGGCCGCGGAAGGGTTAACGCGGCGCGCGCCCCTCGGCTCCGGCCCCCGCCTCCCTCCCGGCCCCCTCCCGCCGCGCCGCAGCGCCGCCCTCTCCCCACCCCCCTGCACACCCCGTCCCCACCCCCCCCCCCCCCGCACACACCCCGGCGCCCGCCCTGCCCATTGGCTGCGCCGCGCCCAGGGCTCCCCCCAGCCCCGTGCTCTGCCCCCAGCCCCCGGGGCGCGCGCCCCGCGAGGGGCAGGGGCCTTAGGGAACCTGCAGGGCAGGTGCAGCAGCCGGCGGGGCGGGGCCCGGGGATCCCGCCCCCCCCACACCCCTGCATCCAGGGCCCGGGGAGCCTGACATGAAGGGAGAGGGCGGGTCCCTTTGGCCCGGCCCCCCACCGCGCCGGGCGCCGCCGGTGCACCCGCGGAGCCGCGACTGGCGCACCCCGCACGCGCCTGGGGACGGCCGCAGGTGACAGGGCGAGGCCTGGGCCGGGGAGGACGACTGCGGGGTCCGGGGAGATCCGAGAAACGTGAAGGACAAGACAGTCTGGAGGCCCCGGCCAACCGCGAATTGAGATAACAGTGGGTGAGATTGAGGGGGGCGCGCACCCAGCAGGACGCCCCCACTCACACGCACACACACACACACTCACACACACACACACTGACACACACTCACACTGACACACACTCACACACACTCACACACACACACTCACACACACTGACACACACACACTGACACACACACTCACACTGACACACACTGACACACACACACACTGACACACACACTCACACACACTGACACACACACACACACTGACACACGCACACTCACTCACACACACACACTCACACACGCACACACACACACTCACACTGACACACACACTGACACACACACACTCACACACACTGACACACACACACTGACACACGCACACACACACACACACACACACTCACACACACGCACGCACACGCACGCACACACGGCCCTCTCGGGGGTTACTCTGGGCCTCCTCTAGGGAGAGGGACATTCTGACAGTTAGCTGCGGGATCAAAGAAAAGCCCCTGAGCGCGAGGTTCCAGCCTGGGGATCCCCTGTGCTAGCGCCCCCCCCCCCCCTCGTCTGCAGGTCGCGGCTGCGGGGCAGGCCCAATGGGCGGGCTCGGGGCTGAGGCGCTGCGGCGGCCCAGCCCCTCGGAAAGCCCTGGCCTCGCCGCGGCCCCTCCCCCCGCCAGCTGGCTTGCTGCAGCTGCAGCTCCCTTATTTAGGCAAGGAGGCCTGAGGATGCTCAAGGGCAGGCAGGGTGTCTGTCTGTCGCCTCCCCGTCCCCTGAGTGAGGGTCTCGGGGGCGCGGTGTCCCTGGCTCCAGCAGCCAGGCACGGCCCTGGGAAGGCCAGGGCGGAAAGGTGAGTGCTGACAGCTGTACCGACAGGCGACAGGCGGGACGAGGGCAGCCTGCCGGGTCCCCTCCCCTGCAGCCCAGATCAGAGACGCGGCTAGATGGATGGGGCCAAGTGGGGGCCCTGAGGGCTTGCAGCTGCCTCTGTCCTTGGAGCTAAGGGATGGGCCTTGTCACCAGGGAGAACCTTCCTGGGATGTGGGGGAAGGGAGGAACAAAGGCCAGAGAAGGAAGCAGAGTCTGAAAGAAGAAAAGCGAAGAGGAAGAGGTCTTACAGAGACCTATCTAGACTCTCACCTATCACCCGGGAGCAAAAAGACGCAAACAATGGGGCCAGAGGCCGGCAGCTGACACCCTTTTTTATTTGCTGGTGGGTGGGCAGTGACTCAGGGAGGCAGCCAGTGGGAGAGAAGGAGGTGGCTCTCCCAGCTGATGCTAAAAAAGACCAGTCATCTCATCCCTGCGGCCCTCTCCACCTCCAGCAGCTTCCCCTCTTGTATCTTCACTTGGCCCCCAAGATTCCCAGGGCCTTCAGTGGCACAGAATCCCGTCCTTCGTGCTGGCATCAGGCACAACAGCCCATCTCGGATGCTGGGCAAAACCCAGCCTATAGTCAGACTGGCCTAGCACCTCCCCCACCCTCCACCACCCCCTGGATTACCTCCAGGGTGATTCCCATTTGAGTGGTGTGTTCGCCCCTCAGATTGGGGATCTCCAGAGCGAGAAAGAGCCTGTGGTAATAATGAGAGTGGGAGAGAGGACATGACAGTGACATCTGCAGATAGTGTCCCTCTTTCTCCAGACCTAAGGTGAGGAAGAGCCGGGCTGTGGGGGCTGGGGGGCGGGGTGCTTCTCATCCAGTCCAGACAGCTGTCCACACTCCAGTACCCATGATCCCAGGACAGGCATCTGCTCTCTTCCTAGCTGCTTAGGCGGACAGAGAAATCTGAGGGGCCCTTGGTATTCCCAAAATAAAAGTGTCAGGGCTCAAAGCAGCCCTCCTGGGCACAGAGGCAGGCAGGAGCTCTCTCTCTCTCTCTCTCTCTCTCTCTCTCTCTCTCTCTCTCTCTCTCTCTCTCTCTCTTCCAGGAGGCTGAAAGGAGAGCCTGAAGGCAGTTTCACTGAGCCACCCCCACAGCCAAGAACTGGGACAAGTAAGGGAGGCTGTCAGATGGGGACAAGCTCTCCCCAAAGGCATTCTTCCTGGGCCCACAGGTGTCAGGCACCAAAAGGCAAAGGGCAACATGTGGGCTGAAGCCTCCCTGCTCCTCACCTTCCCACTTCCACTTCCCCTGGACCTGGGGGAAAGAGGCAAGTGCCCAACCTTAATACCTGGAGCAACTGGGATCCGTCCCTCCCCAACTTCCGCTCACAGAGCCATCTGCAGGGACCGGTCCTGGGAAGAGCTCTCCCCACCCTGCCTGTGGCTGAGAGACCCTCGCTGTACAGACAGTGAGACGCTAGGCTCCTCCCAGCTCACAGAGACAATTTGAGGAGGAGAGTCTGTGGCAAACGTCCTGCCCATCCCACCACCCTCTGTGCTGCTCAGTCTGAGGGAGTCATGCCAGGACATCCTGGGAGGAAGAAAGAAACTGCAGCCTCCCTCTGTGGACCCCAAGGAGAGGGCCAGGGGAGGCAACCAAGGCCCAGGAGAGCAAGTGACAATCACAGGGGCTGAGGAGCAGCTGGGGAGGATGGTGCCTCAGAGCCCCTGGGAAGGAAGAACACCAGCAGCCTCCCTGTGCACGGGAGCTCGGAGTGCTCAGTGGGGCCTTGTTCTTCCTGACAGTGGGGTCCTGAAGGTGCAGGTGCTTTCATAAAGGGCCTGGTTGAGGAGAGGAAGAGCAATGAAACTGCATGTTTCTTCTCCAGAAGTGGGTGCTCAGGGCTTGCTAAAGGCCAGAAAGGATGGGAGGGAGGGGAGAAGGGAGCACGGGAGGAAAGGACTCACCTCAAACCCATAGCCAGGAACCTGTGCTCCTTCCTTATTGCCACCTGCAGCCCCACATGCAGCGATCCCATCACACAGACCCCACACACCCAGGGCCATAACCCAGGTCTTCTCCCACCAACCTGATACATACCAATGACGGGGCTTTTTCCTTGCTGTGGTGCTATAAAACGAAGCAAATAAGATATGCTGAGGAGCCCTGGCCAGTGTGGTTCAATTGGTTGAGTGTCATCCGGGCACCTAAAGGTTGCTGGTTTGATTCCCAGTGGCTAGTACACAGGCCCAGATTTTGGGCTCAATCCCCAGTAGGGTGCATGCAGGAGGCAGCTGATGGACCTTACACTCTCACATCATGTTTCTCCCTCTCCCTCTCGCTCTAAAAATTAATAAAATTAAAAATATAAAAGATATGCTGGAGACTAGGACTCAGAAGACTTGACTTCTAATTCTGGTTCTGCTACTAGTTACGTCAACAAATGTTTACTGGAGGCCTCCTGTGTACTGGTCCCTGCGCCAGATTTGGGGGGGAGGGGTGGACTAGAGAAGAAACAGACAGGAAGATAGCCCAGGATCTCTGCTCCAGGTACTCAGGCTACTGAGGCTGAGAGAGGCAGTAGGCAGGCAGAACTGTGCGGTCTGCGCTGAGTGGGGTTACCAGAAAGTGTTGGTCACATTCACAGGAGGAGTGCAAGAGGACCTGGCAGGGAGAAAGTTTTGGAGCATGTCCCTGAAGGTCGAAGGTCGGGATGAGGCAGGATAGAAGCACGGCAGGTGGAAGGGACAACATGAGCAAAGGCATAGAGACTGGAGCCATTGTTGGAGGACTGAGAAGTTTGGTTTTTATTCTGTGTGCCAAAAAACAAAACAAAAAATAATGGCAACTGAAATGTATTGTCTACAAACATAGAAATCACGTGTGCATTTGTACAGACCCTAGCATGCATTCTGTACCTAATAAAAGTCTGTTGAAGTATTGAAACACGTAAAATAGTTTGGGGAAAACAGGCAGATACGAGGTGTTTCGGTTACTGTTGCTGCCTGACAGCTTTGCCAAATCCCATGGCTTAAATCAGTGGCAGCATTCATTCTGCTCATGGGTCTGCCATTTGGGCAGGTGCAGCAGGAACCACTTGTGTCTGTTCCACTCAACTCAGGACTGAAAGGCTCATTCACTCTTCACGTCTGATGGATGATGCTGGCTGTCAGCTGGGACCTCAGCTAGGACCGGGGCCAGAATGCCTACACGAAGCCTTTCCTCGTGGCTGCCTGGCTCCCTC